ATTATTATATTATATATTATATATATATCATTATATAGAGAGAAATAGAGACCTTCTATTTGATCCTCCAAAATGAACTAAATAATCCCAGAATTTTTTAAAAAAAAAATTTTAAATAAAAAAACGTTTGAAAGACGCTGGTTTTCAGAGATTCTACAAAGAATTTTATAAAATTCAGCGGCACCTAGTGGTGAATCTCTGGGATAATTAGAAACAAATACGATTAATATTTTATGATATAATTTCAAGAATTTAATTAATTTTTGAAAATCGGTATTGGAGGTTCTCATTAAAACAACATTAGTTGCTGGGTTTAAACCTCCATTTATGGGCAAGGCAACATTTTTGACCGCAGATACATCGTGCGAAAATCGGGATAAAAAATGCGCAACATTGTGCATCACCGAACACGATTTCTGGCCTCTGGCCTTTCGTGAGTCTCGGTCACAGCAAAGGTAGATCCAGCCCAAAAATGTATCTTTAGCACCCCCTTCAGTCAGGATCGTTGAAGCCCGCCAACTTCTGTGTCAACACATTACTCGTAAACCGAGGACTCCTTAAACAAAGAAAATAGAATCAGTGCGATTTTCCTGCTGTATCAAAATAAACGACGTTACCTTGTTCTGTGCCCCCTATTTTGAGAACCGTCGCAGTGGTTCGTGCTGCTTTTGCCTAACTTTGACGGAGTGGGATGACAGCGGCCTGGACCTCGTGTCCATATATGGACATGGTTCGATCCTTCTCGGGTCAGGGTTACGACTCCCTGTCTGTTACTTCTCACTGGGCCTTCAACGCATTGCTCGGATGCCTGACTCGTGCTGAGACTTCACAAGAGGAACTTTCGAGGGGTTGTTCACGAGGTCGACGAGGAAGTCCCTAAAAGACGACATCGCGCGGAGCCGGGGAGGACATAGCTGACACAGCAGGATATAAACAAACTTTTACCGTCACTTTAAGAAGTGTTTTTGTTTTACGTCTCGGAGCATCCCGACCCGAAGATCTGTTCTCAGCTGAAAACAAAGTTAACTAGCTAGTTAGCCAGCTAGCTAACTTCTCAATCACACAAAGAGAATCAAAGTTTTTGTCCTCAGTGTCCACTTGGACGTGGCCCAGCGGTTGTATAACGTCCCTGACATCACAGTGGGCCCAAAGAATCACAAGTTAGCTAGCTAACTAGCTTGCTAGCAGAAAAAAAAATCGATTTTTCTCCATCTCAGATATTTTCCCTAATTTTTCACTAGAAAATGTCCTTTTTCGTCGAATTTTTAATATTGTATATTTTCATTTCAATATAAAACCGGGGGGCTGGGGGGTGTGACCTCCCTGACCTCTTCAGTCTCTCCATCTGTGTGAGTGAATCACAGTCGTGTTTACACTTTTCACCGCCAAAGGAAAAAGCTGCTGTGACGTCAGAGAGTCCTCCTCCGCTCTGGAGCGCTATTTTTTATGCATGAGTGGAGGGGGGGCTGCAGGGGGGGGGGTTCCCGCAACAACAACAACAACGACCCTGGGATCATGTGATGTGCGGAAAAACTGACACAAAGGGAATCAAAGTTTTTGTCCTCAGTGTACACTTGGACGTGGCCCAGCGGTTGTATAACGTCACTGACATCACAGTGGGCCCAAAGACGCACAAGCTAGCTAGCTAACTAGCTTGCTAGCTGAAAAAAAAGAAAAAATTTGACTGGAAAAAAAATCGATTTTTCTCCATCTCCGATATTTTCCCTAATTTTTCATCAGAAAATGTCCTTTTTCGTAGAATTTTTAAGATTTTCATTTTCATTTAAATATTAAAAACCAAACTCTGCTGCCATCTGGCGGACAATAAACGCATACACACGGGAAAAGAGTTATTTTGACAATAGAAATATTTGGTTTTTATATTTAAATGAAAATATACAATATTAAAAATTCTACGAAAAAAATGACATTTTCTGATGAAAAATTAGGTAAAACAAAGTTAGCTAGCTAGCTAACTAGCTAGCTAACTTTGTATTTAGCTGAGAACAGATCTTTGGGTCGGGATGCTCCGAGACGTAAAAAAAAACACTTCTTAAAGTGAGGGTAAAAGTTTGTTTACATCCTGCTGTGTCACGTCATGACATGTCCTCCGCGGCTCCGCGCGATGACGTCTTTTAGGGACTTTCTCGTCGACCTCGTGAACAACCCCTCGAAAGTTCCTCTTGTGAAGTCTCAGCACGAGTCAGGCATCCGAGCAATGCGTTGAAGGCCCAGTGAGAAGTAACAGACAGGGAGTCGTAACCCTGACCCGAGAAGGATCGAACCATGTCCATATATGGACGGGTCTGACAGATGAAGTGTCACGGAAATTTGAAAACCTTATTTAAATGTCAGTAAAAAAAAATATATTATTATTATTACTTTATTATTTTAGGACTTTTGTGACAAAAAAAGGAAAAAAAAGTTGCCGTTCTGTGTAAAATTAAAAGTTTAACTTTATTTTTTTCAATTTGTCACAAGAAATTACGCAGTCAGTGAAAATAAATAAATAAAAAAATGTATAATGATGACGCAAACTATTTTTGAATAAATTAATTTTCTTTCATTTCTTCCAGGTTCATGGGGGCGCTGTCATCCCAGCAGCTATCAAGTGAAAAAAAAGAAAGAAATTTTCACGTTCACATTTATACCAATGGCCAATTAAGACTGACCTTCTTGCTGTAGAAAAAAAAAAAAGAAAGTTTCACGCTCCCATTTACATTTACACCAATTAAGACTGACCTTCTTGCTATAAGGCAGGAGCCCTAACCACTCTGCCACCTTGCGGCCACAGAGGCGACAACGTTGAGGTATGGATTTAATCGGTTAGTTGTTTAAAAAGTGTGAATTAAAAACCGACTTTTAACTTTTTTTTTTGTTTGTTTTTTTACACAGCGAGACTTTGAAACCGGAGTCGGAAGTGTGAATTAAAAACCGACTTTTAACTTCTTTTTTTTTTTTACAGAGCGAGACTTTGAAACCAGAGTCGGAGAAAAGTTCGTCAATAAACGAATTCAATAGACGCAAAGTCGGTTAGTCGATGTGCGGTTCTCTTCCCGGTGCCTTTGGTGAAACATTTCCTACATGTTATCGGATGTCAGAACCTACAGGAGCTCATGTTGCCGTTCCCGCTCCTCCTCCTCCTCCTTGTTGCTCCTGCTCCTCCTTCTTCTCCTGCTCCTCGGAAACGGGATGTGATGTAAATACACACTTAACTTTTTTTTTTTTTGTCCCCCTCCTCCTCTGTATGTGATCTTCTCTCCGGACTGTACAGAAAGTGTTTTCGTTGCTCCCGCGTCGGTTCACGCGAAAGTGTTTCGCGAGCGCAAACGGTTCGACTTTAACCGTTACAAGAAGAAGAAGAAGGAGGAGGTGCGTTGGTTTTCACCACCATGATCCTCTAAGGGCGACGAGAGGAGCTCCGTGTTGCTGCTGCTGCTGAGAAACTACAGACAGGTACGGGCAACATCTGTGTCTTTGTTTGTTTGTTTGTTTGGTGGGACGGAGAAACCCGGATCAGAAAGTTCGGATCGGATTCGGACGGAAAATGTGACAGGAGCAGCAACATTGCTGCTGTTGTTGTTGCTGCTGTTGCTCCACACTGCGGCCTATAATTTCCATTGATCTGTGACCTGCTGCGGCAACATGTGGCAAAATAACGGGCTGAAGGGAACGTCGTGATTTGACAACGTGACGTTGCTCAAAACAAAACAAAAAACTTAAAAAAAAACAAACAAACAAAAAAATCTCGAACGACCCTTTTTGACCCATTGGAATCCAATAGTACGAAAATATACCGGTAAAATGTAACGTTAAATTTCGTCAACATTCATAACTAACTACAAACAGCATCAAAAATATATATGAAATATACATTTATATTCATATATATATGAAAAGACACTTCTCTAAGACTGATTCCCGCAGCTTTGTTTTCGTGAATTAAAAGTTCGCAGGAAGTTGAAAAGTCCTTTATATCGTGAGGTGATGTTTCCATCGCAGAATTTTTTTTTTTTTTAATTCCAGAAGAAAAAAACCAAAACAGCGCAACATGAAGATTTGTCTTTAAAACATCTTAAAAATCTTCAAGTCAGACTTTTTCTCGTCTGTCACTTAAAATTTAAAACGTATGCTAACGTCGTTAACATCGCTCACACAACCGTACTCTATGCTGTCCCTTCAGTTAAAGTTCAATATTAATTTCTCACACAAATTCCAGGTCAGTTTGCGATAATATTTTTGCCGATCAGTCCTAGCGACCGCCGTTTGTCGGCAACGAGAGGAATTCGCGTGTCACAAATAAATATAGACGTAGAGAGAAAAAAAATTGAATTTAAAATTTCAGCTTGTTACGTTGTAACTTCTAAAGTCGTTTTGTTAACACAGCGATTCCCAACCTCTGGGCCGTGGCCCTCTAGTGTGCCGCGAGAGATCATCAGGTGTGCCGCGGAACGTTACCCGACATCACTTAATTTGTCTAAAAAAATGATATTAATATCTTATTACGCAAATATTTTTTCTTCGTTTGTCAATGCCTGGGAGGCAGAACAATAAAATACTTGTCATTAGGTGGCAGCAAAATGGCTGTGAAAGTAAACAGTTCATTTTTTTCCTATTTAAATGTATATTTTTGTATTTTATAAAAAATTTTGTAAAAAAAAAAAATCATTTATGCTAAAGAATAAATAGGAAAAAAAATCGCGACTAAATTAAAGCGTTAAAGAGAACGACCTCAACACATTGTAAATATTCGAACAATCCCTAACTCCAATTATTTACATCAGTGGTTCTCAAACTGTGGTACGTGTTCCACTGGTGGTAGTTTAATTCATTCTCGTTGTTAGCATTTAGCCGGTCAGTCGATGCCCTTGGAGTTAGCTTCTTGTCTTTTTGTTCACTCCGACTGGAGTTAAGTCAGTGGGTCCCAAAGTAGGGGGCGGCCCCCTCTCCGGGGTCACAGTAATCTGTGATTTGATTTCTCGTTAATCCAAAGAACAGTTTAGTTGGAATAACAACGATTAGTCTTTTGTACCAAAGGGGGCGCTGCAGAAACTCATTGGAAACGACCAAGTTAGGAAATATGTTTCTGATGATTCTGGAATCAAAAAGCGATAAAAAAAAAATTTTTAGTCGCAGCTTTAACGTACAGTACACATCAGACGAACTTCTGAACGTGCGACGTTACGTGAACAAAGGAAATCCTCCGAAATGGCAAAGATTTCAGCTGAAGTTTGAACTTCGGGCTGTTTTTAGTTTTTGTTTTTCTGTCGCAGTGATGCTAACGCTTTCACTAATGTCTTCTAACGCTGAACATCAATCAACAGAAGATATTTTTCTTCTGCCTTGAGCGTCGGTGACGTCAGGATGTGAAGATTTCACCTTCTTTAACTTCAGTTTGGTTTTTTTGGGGTTTTTTTTTCACAACGCGCGAGACAGAGAAAGAAAATATTTTCGCCCGGCAACAATAATTCAGCTGGACAAGCAGTGATTTGAGGTTGTGTTAGTCACGGACGTCTGATGTCGTTGGTCCTCCTGCAGGTGTGTGTTGTTTTTTTTTACAAGGTGATTAATCACCGGGGCGGGGGGTTAAAGGTCGTCTGAGGCTGCAGGTTTAGAAAGTTTGACCCAGAACTTCACACGAGAGACGAAGGTGAAACTGCTATTGATCACCTATTAGCTGTCGATCACCTGCTAGCTGTCGATCACCTATTAGCTGTCGATCACCTGTTAGCTGTTGATCACCTGTTAGCCGTTGATCACTTGTACAGGATCACATGTTCAGGATCACTGGTACAGGATCACTGATACAGGATCACTGGTTCAGGATCACTGGTTCAGGATCACTGGTGCAGATCACTGGTACAGGATCACTGCTTCAGGATCGCTGGTACAGGATCCGTGGTACAGGATCGCTGGTACAGGATTGCTGGTTCAGAATCGCTGGTTCAGGATCGCTGGTTCAGGATCACTGGTTCAGGATCACTGGTACAGGATCACTGGTTCAGGATCGCCTGTTCAGGTACAGACTGAAGACGGAGGACATGTTTGTTTTTTTGTTTTTTTAAATGATGGAGTGAAGTTCTAGTGTTTGACTGAGATGCTCCGGTCGTTTGTGTCAAACTCAAGGCCCACGGGCCAAATCTGGACCTCCATATCATTTTATCCGGCCGACCAAGGTGTTTAATGCAGCGGTTTTGTCATTTTGAGTCACTGACACGTTATTTAACTCTTGAGACTAAACTTTTCTAGACAGTTCATCAGATGCTTATCCTCATTAGCGCGCAACATAGACTGCGTTGTAAACGTCGCCCCCGACGCTCCCGTAGGTTCTACAGTTTGAATCCCGACCATCCCAGGTGGATCCGCCGGTTCCGGTTTCACGACCTCCTCGTCCGCGAGGTCGTCCGTCAGGTTCAAGGCTCTGCGTGTTAAATCAAGCGCTCCTCGCATTCCTGTCATTCCACCCGCTCCGCTTTTGGGCCTGGTCCCCCCCCCCCCCCCCCCCCCCCGCTCGTGCGAGAAACAACGACAATC